ACCTCGAAAACGCCTCTCCGCCAGGTATTTCTTATGTTGGGGGGTGCGGTCCTTCCCTGCCCGGTGTAACTTTTATAGGGGATGAACGCCGCCGTAAGATGGGAGTTGGAGAACTCTCTAACTTTTAGGAGAAAAACGAGATGGTGTCAGCCTTAGGGGTGTTTCAATGCTGCTGTTGAAACGCCGTTCAGCGCAGGGGAGAGGGCTGACACCTTCCCCGTTGACACCCAAACCCCGCAGCGTGCGACCCGTGCTGCCGCAGTTCGCAGTCAACCATTTTTCAGCCCATTGGCTTTTTAGAAGCCATTAAAAAAAGCGACTTCCTTGTTTCTGTTTCAGTGAAAGCAGCGTGTCGGTAAAGGAACGCTTCACCGTGTAAATGAGCTCAGTTGCGCAGTACAGCCAGCCTTCATGCTTACAGCATCTTCCTTTTCACACATGCCACCATATCTGTGATCATTCTTGGTCCCAGCCTGAGCTTGATTGAAGCCGAAGGAAATAAATGTACTCTAAGACAGCAGATATATAAATTTTTACTTGTCTAAATGCATGATTTTATATTCTCACTGAGGTGCTCAAGATGCAGTGCTACGCACTAAATGCATGATTTTATATTCTCACTGAGGTGCTCAAGATGCAGTGCTACGCATCGTGAATGCCCACACTCAGTTGCTTGTTGCAGCCTCAGCACTGTGTGCTCGGAGTTACTTCCCACTTGTCTGTCTTCAGAGTTTCTCCTGAGTCTGCTTTAAAGGCGTGAAAGGAGAAGCATGGAAGTTGTATACAACATCATTGTCATGATCTGCATCAGCATAACTTTACACCAGAAATGCAATGTCTAGCTAATTCCAACCTCTGTTGAAGGAGATGAGGTGCAATTTTAAGTGTTCACAGAAGGAAAAACTTGTTTCCTTTTACGATGTATACTTGAGCATCCTTTGACAAGTTGAGTCCAGAGGGACTTGTCAATAGGATAGTGCATACCTATGAAAATGTAGGGTATGAGAGAGGAAGAGAGTTTTCAAAGTGCTACCTTCTCCTGGCAGTGTGAGTTAAAGATAGCTACTGATAACGGCTAGCTACTGAAAGTGCTGTGTGCCTGAATGTATTCAGCTCTGTGTCATTTTAATCTTTTTAGAGTTTTGCTCCATATTCTCTGACCAGCTCTACTCTGACACCACTCATAAAATGGGAGGAAGTCCCGAGTCATGTGAAGGAGGTCTCTCTGCTGTTATTTACGGCTGTTGCCTGTGGGAGTAGGTTATATTCTCGACATGAGGCTTTGCCTCAGTCTTGTGACCGAGAAGACTAACCCAGACATGGATGAGCTTTTCAGTGAAATAACGCCGTGGTTGTGTTTGATACTGGATTTTCAATATATTGCATTCCCAGTTTTTTGACTGGTTTACTTGGCTCTGTGTTGAACAAAATAATTACTGTTTTATCCTTTTTTTCCATTTGCAGATACAAATGACTCTTCTGTTAAACTGAACCATGAGTCTTGCATTACATGATCTGCTCATTTGTTGTCGTCAGCTTGAAAATAAGAAGGCTGTGGAGCGAAGGGTAACGAGTTTTCCTTTGGTATGTGTGCCTCAATTAGCAATTAAGGGAAGCAGTAATTTTTTTTTTCCTGAATTTCCAGAAGGAGATTGAAAATTTGAAGCGACTTCTCCGTGATTCTGAAACAGTTCTCCAGCTGGACCGGAATTCTGATTCTAAACAAGGAAAGCAACTCAACTGGGATGCTGTATTTAGGTAGGTTTTTTTATTCTTTGTGAATGGTTGCAGTTTTCTTACATGGAACATCTTTCTTTTGTTTCTTGTGCCTATTTTAATGCTTATCTTTCCACAGATTGATTTAGACTTCTTGTCAGCTTGTGAACAAGAAATTACTTACGTTAGTCACTAAAGGAAGTAAATTTAGAATAGCCAAAAATGCAACACTCATCACATACAGGAAGTATAACTGCTGGGAAACTGATCATTCATTGGGTGGTGATTCTTCCTTGCCAAACTAGTAGCTACTTTCTTTTACTGAGAATTAGCCTCAGCCTCTGTTTTTCAATGTATAGTTCATGTGTGGATGATAGATAGCTCATTAGAATTTTTTCTGTTACTGAGTTCTTCAAGATGCAATAGAAGGACTGTGGCTTGTGAATTAAAGAAGCTGTGCTGAGGTTTGTAGAAGCCCATCTTTGAAATAATCTGCTTTAGCTGTGCTACAAGATTGGACCGAGTGTGAGCCTGATAGGTTCTTAGGCCAGCTGGGACTAGTGTTAAATTTCGTGTTTCTACTGCATCTGAAGTGTTAATTTTCATAGACTGGTGTCTGGTCAGCTTTCCATTATGTTTTTTAATTGGACAGCATTGGAATAGTTCTTGTTTCGTAGCTGTACCAAAAATATTGTAAGAAGTATTTGAGAAATTCTGTACATTGCTTTTGAGATGGCCAATACTATGTTAGAAATATGTGGGAGAAATACAAAAATAGAGGCTCCAAACTGAACACAACTGGTAGGCCAGAAAAATCTACACTAACTGCCAGTGAAAAGTTTTAATCTATTCTTAGATCTAAAATCTAATCCATATGTAAATTTTAAATGATGGAGAAATAGGACTTGAAGATTTTCCTGATAATAACAATGAAGAGTACTTCTTATTATTTTGTTGTATAATGTTGCAGCATAGATAAAAAGACGTAGCATTTCTTTTTTTTTCCTAGTTACAAATTGTATGTTTAGCATTATGCAAAGTTTAAAGGAAAGTTTGGTTCCTATTCAGGTTGCTTCTGGATTATCTTTAAAAGTTAGATTTCTTTTTGTAGACTATTTCTGTCATGCTTAGACCATAATATATTTCGGTTGTTTTTAGTCTTTGATAATTAGAATTGTGAGAAGAACAAGCCCTGACATTCTAGGCTAAAACAATGTTTACCTATTTTATTTGAGTCATAAGTATGCAGATCCTTGATTAATATCTCTTTTACTTTTGAAGTGTCTTGCAGAAGTATTTCCAGAAAGAAATTAAAAACCTACAACTGGCAAAACCAAATGCGTCTGCTTCAACCCAAAGTGCCAGACAGAAAAAGATGCAAGAAGTTGGAAGTTTGGTCAAATATTTCATCAGATGTGCTAATAAAAGTCAGTAATATGTATTTGTGTAGAACTACTGTTTAGGTGCTTTGCTTTCAACTTTGAATTTTTACTCTGAAGTAAGTTACCAGGGTAGGGTTCATCTTGCTTGCTTCCAGATTTACAATTTAAATATCTTCATGTGAATCAGTCCTTTGTGCTCCTTCTCTGTCCTTGTTGATGTTCATGGTGCCTTTTTCTAATTACTCAATGTGTGTATAACTGATGTGTTGTCTCGTAAGTAATTTCTTTCTTAGAAACAGTTTGTTTAAGAAGATGATTCCTAACAGAACTGTTTCTGAACTGTAGAGGGTTTTTTGTTTTTAAGTAAACATTTACAAGCAATTAATTCCAGATTTATTTGGCACACTTTGGATTAATTACAGTCTCACATTGTTTCTTCATGTAGGAGGACCCAGACTGAAATGTCAGGAACTTCTGATCTATGTCATGGAAATTATAAGAGATCCAACAAGTTGTGCTGCTTATGGATCTGACTGTAGTAGTATACTCCTAAAAGATATCCTCTCAGTAAGGAAATATTGGTGTGAGATATCCCAGCAGCAGTGGTCGGGTAATATTTTTAAGCCTACTTACAAATGTCTTTTCCTATTATAGAAGCATGTTCAGGTGCATTTTAATTTGTTTGATGCCCTGTTGTTTGAGGTACTACACAAAGCATGGGGTAAAATAGTGTCAGCCTTGAAGGCGTACAGTTGAAATAAGCAAAGCAGCAAAGATTAGGAATGGATTTTTTTCTTTCGGCACATTGTTTATCTATTGCTTGCTGAAACATATGTACTTGTGCACAATCAGGTTATGTATGCATGGTCTCCACAGGGCTTAACGTGTATAACAAATGCATGCAACGTGTGCTGGAAATAGCCTG